ATTCAGTTGACGGTGACAACACGTCTGAGCCGTCCCAGCCAATTCAATCCTTGTCACAGGCAAGGGACCAATTCGTGGCCAAATGGATTCAAGACAGCAACATGCCTAAGTCCATGGAGCGGCGAACCGCTGCATATGAGGCATGGATGTCAAGCGAAACCAGGGCAAACATACTTGCTGGCAGGTCAGGTGTCCAGAAGTGATAAGTATGTGGTACGTGTTTTGCATTTTGTTTTGGCGTGTTCAACAAGTTGTTATGTGGTTCATTCAACCTGGACACAGGGGTTTGACAACAGCCTGACTGACCTCCGTTTGGGACGATGTGTGATGCCCGGCTGTTGTATATACATGTTTAAAGGAAACGTTGGTGAAAACACCGCAAAAGATCGCAAGGGAAGAGTGAAAAACATCGCAAGTTGCGGAAGTTTCCCAAGACTGGCCTGTTGCTGAATTTTCAATAACACTTATATATTTCCTATTGTAAGCTTAAAGCAACAACCGCTGGGTTGCAGAAGTCTGCTATGATGTGATGTTCAAAAATTCTCAAACAAATTCACTAGTACCGGTTCTCTTTATTCCTTTCTCAGCTTCCTTTGTGCGAGTTTGATCTTTTCATGTGATCCCACTCGCCAACGCTAGCACGCCCTTCGGCCCAGGCCTTGATGACAGGCCATCCACCCGCCATCCCGCCCGGCATCGAGGTTGGTTGCATGGAAAAACATGTAACACTTCAATAGTTACTGGGTGGAAGAAATTGCACCTTTCAAAAAACATGACCATGTCTTGAGCAAAACATGTTTGATTGACACCTTAAAACACCTCATGTTTGTGTATGGATGTTGGCATCCACATATATCCAAATCGAATCTTCGGATTAAACACGGCGGCGGTAGCGGCGGTAGCGGCGGTAGCGGCGAGCGGCGGACACGTCCGAAGAGGGTGGCAGGTTATTCACTGAACATACCAAGGATACAACCTTCCTAAAAACACAAAGTGGTAGACGAAACCTCGTATTCCATGCTCAAAATCTAAGTCTTCTTTTGAGGAAACTATGGTCCAACTCTGCAACATATGTTTTTCTTGACCGGTTTCGCTTCCACAATCTCTTTGCAAGGTTTGTTTGTGAGCCTTGCTCCTACTTCCACAATCTGCTTGCCAGGTTTGGTTGTGAAGCCTTGCTCTTGACTTCCACAATCTGCTTGCAAGGTTTGGCTTTGAAACCTTGCTCTTGACTTCCACAATCTGCTTGCAAGGTTTGGCTTTGAAGCCTTGCTCTTACTTCCACATGTCTTTTTTCCATGGTAGCGGAGAAGAAATATAAGAATCACTTACCACCAATCTGGGCTCACTTGCCACTAATGTAACTTTTGTCAAGGAACCACAGGACGTCACGATTTCTGAGAAGTTCTGGAGCAGATACTGCGAGCAAAGGAACGGCGAGTAGTTCAAGTAGGTTGATGTAAGTCCGGCGAGGTGCCCAGGTCGCAACAACCTCTTTGGGCATTGATGTCAACCCAAATATGCTCATCACACAAGATCCAAATGCCTAGGCGGAAGCCGAGCGGAGTTGGCGCAGCAGTGGATGCGTCAGTGTAGACGATGACGGGTTCCGTGAGTCGGGGGTATACGGGCACACGGCAAGATGGTACGATCGAGAGGGCCAGCTGCAAGTACTGAAGGCAGAGTGCCAAGCTGGGAGTTAACGCATTGGTGTGGTCGAAGGACTGCCGGGCGATGAGGCCGGAGAAGGCAGCCGTAAGAGGTTTGCCCAAGAGCGACATTTCTAGCCAATTGAGGAGGCCACGGGCCTTAGCGGCTGTGTGACACGACCACTGGACAAGAATGCGGACAACATCCGCAGCGCTCGCTGTTTCGTTTCAGGACAAGATGTGAGGGTGACAACATGCTCGTCATTGAGACGGGAGAGGTCAGTGACCATTCCCAAAAAACGGGGCATGGAGGTCATATGTTGGCGCTTATGGTGTCCTATGAGAACGCCAAAAGTCTCCAAAATGCGGATGAACAGAGTCTTGTGAGCGCCAGCGAGGTGGGCATACTCAAACTGTATAGAATCATCAAAATAATGTCCGGCAACCATCGAAAAAACACGACGACAAACAGCAGCGAAGAGTTGCGGGGCACGATTAAATTGATTGACGGCCGACGTAAGGCCGAATGGCAGACCGTATAACTGAGCATAGACACGTTTTTTGGAATGTGGATGAACAAAAGTGATGATGTTTACACACATATGATCTTTCAAGGGATGGTTTTGGCGGTAGCCCTTCCAAAGGTCTTCTGTGCCAGCCACAACCTCAAGCCAAGGCATATGTTGAGGTAAGTCGCTGGGGGAAGCTGCCGGGTGGTGAGACCGAAGAAACTGTAATGCATCCTGGTACCAAAACTTAACAACAGCTAGAGGGAAGTCAGGTCTTTGGTTGACAATTGCCTCGTGAAGCTGGGTGCACTCATTGCGCCTCCCGGTTCTACCATCGTCCACTGGGCGTTCTTTGTCATGCTGGTGAACTGTGTGGCGTTTCAAGGGGCGCCATTGACCTATACCATAGAGATTATCAAAAAAGGCTCGACTGTGGAACGACCCCAAAAGACCTAAATCTTGTTCTTTGGTACTTTCTTCGAGAATGATGGCAGCGGAGGGGTGAACACGAAGGTCAGATTCGAGTGCATCAACATAAGATATGGGATCATGTCCCAGAAGAGCTACCTCAGGTAAGGGCTCAGGAGACGTGGGCCTGAATATCCCAGACGGAGGGATGCTTCCAACAATCGGAAAACCCCGACACAAACACTCTAACAAACCACGGTCAGGCCAGTCCAAAATACTGACCAGTGCGGCCGTCAGGGCTGCTTGCAAATGCTGCCTGGGAGGCAAAGACACGTCAATGAAGGGGTCGACCATAGAAGCACGGGATTGTTTCATTCAACGTGCAGGGTCGAAGTGTCGCAGGGCTTCCCAGTCAAGGCCAAAGGGGTTGTCAAGACCATGTTGGGCCGCCCAAACGTGGAAATGTTGGAAAGGTCCTAAGGGAACATTAACAAAGGATTTCCATGCTGTAGCTATGACCTCATGAGGAATGTCCGACATAGGCAAAAGGGATAATACATCACGAAACCAAGATTCCGAGGACTTGTCAGCGCCAGGAGAAGGAGAAGCTGCAGGGACGACCTCACTGCTGGTCAGCACTGCACAAGCCGGTTCCAAGTCCGAAGGACAGCAGCGAGCGTTCCAGGCTGAAAGCGCACGAGCAAGGATTCAGCAGTGGTGGCAATCCACACCTCGCGGGCTGTCCCGGAACGTTGAAGGTCTTCCATGGCAAAGCTCAGGCCTGGGTGGAGAACAGCCTCGACCAGAGCCACTGCAACATTCTGGTGCTTGTGCTGGATACGGTTGGCTGATGCGGTCCCGTTGGCTTGAGAAGGCCTCGTGCGGGTGCAGAAGCCGAAGAAGATATGTGGGGACATGGACCTGATGGAAGAAGCTGCTTCCAGGTGTGCATGCGAGGCTTGCAATGGAGGTGCCAAACTTTTTTGCGTAGTGATTCCAGAATCGGTTCAGGGACCTCAGTAGGCAGTTCGTCTTGTAACTCCTCCAGGGTCAAACCAGCAAGGTCACGGGCATCAAAGCCTTTGGCAGAGAGAACATCCAAAACTCGTTCTTCTGCCGGAGTGAAGATCATGGCCACTGCGATGAGATCAGGAAAGGACCTAGAGACAAACAATGAAGATGGTGACTGAAGCCTGAGTGGGCGGAAATGCATGCCAGTGAGATTCAGTGATGGAGTGTGCACCCAGCGCCTGC